AATTTGGGTATTCCTGGGGATTACTTAAAATCAGAGTCTTTTTTTTTTTTTTTTTTAAGAATTATATAATTTTATTTATTCATTCATTTATTTATTTTTATTTGACCAGAGAAAGACACACAGAGAAGGAAAGTGAGAAAGCAAGCCACCAGGTCAAGGACTCGAACCGTGGTCGGCCGGTGGGAGTATCCAGCAACTTAACCAACAGGCCACCTGTTGGCCCCTAAAATCAGAGTCTTAAAAGTTGAAAATATATGAGAAATCATCACAAAGTTCATGGTAAATGTGTATTATGAAAAAAACTGCATGAATTTAAAAATCTTTGCACCAAAATAAACTCATATATACGTTAATTGCATTTTTTTCCATGAACCTTTTCAAGTCTCCTTGTAAAAGGGGGCAAAGCCTTTTTAGTCAAGTGGTGGTCATTAGTACAAGTGGCATGGTGGTAACACAACTGGGAAGTCCCGGGTTTGCATCCTGGCCTCCCTGTGCACGCTGGCAGCCGGAACTCCCCTGGTCTGGGCTGACATGGGGTACATGGAAACGAGCCCAGTCGAGGTGCCTGTCTCTTTTCCTCTCCCTCTCCTGCTCTTTCTCTCCTGGTATACATAAATACAGTCTTAAAAAAGCTATTAGAAAAGTGAGTGACAGGGTCACACTACTTTAGGAAAATCTAGCTCATTCTTGATTTGATAAACACGGACCAAGGTCAGTGGACAGTAAGCCCCGTGGTTTCTTTGGAAACCCTTTGAACAGTGGCACATGTCAGGTGCCGTGAATACAGTGCTGTCAGCCATTGAGAGAAACAGCCGTGGCAGCATTTTCTGGCTCATTCCTGTCTGCCCGCCCGCCTGCTCCTCACGCCACTTTATGTTCCCTCACTGAAACCAGGACCCATGCAGCTGGCCAGGCCCAGCACCGCCTCCGAAGGGCTTTGCACGTGGAAATCCAGCCCTCCTAGAAAGCAGTGCTGTTTGTCCACTAATCTGCCCACATTTTCAGCCTTGCCACGAAAATGTATTTGTGAAATCTGACTACTTTTCCATAGTGCTAAAAACTTTTATTATTTCTTTAATCTTTTTTTTTTTTTTGAGAGAGATTTTTGCTATAGGGTTTCTGTGCTTGCTAGAGAGACAGACAGAAAGTGAGAAGTCACCCCCCAGAGGGATAACCACACTGCAGTCCCTTCTCCATTCTCCTCGTGGGATCTTGGGAATGCACACACGCACCCAGCGTGTGCTAGGTCCGGGACTCAAACCTCAGTCCATTACCTTTATGCCATCTGTTGGCCCTGCCTGTGTGATCTTCAGTCTGGCTAACTAGCCGACCACGTGGGATTCAGCTACCCAACTGCCACCTGTGGCCTGACCCGTGGTCCTTTCAATTTGGCGTGATAGGTGCTAGGGCAGAGTGAGAGCTCTCAGAGAATCCAGAGCCACTCATGATCTGGGGGTGGGATTCCTGCTCTTATGTAAATTTAAAGGGGAGAAATAGTGCCTTCTGTATATTCTTTTTCTTTTAAAGAATTATTTAATTTTATGCATTCGTTCATTTTAATTTGACCAGAGGAGAGAGAGAGAGAGGAAAGTGAGAAAGCAAGCCACCAGGTCTGGGACTTGAGCCATGGTCGGCCATGTGAGAGTGTCCAGTGCCTTCACCACCACACCACCTGCTGGCTCCCTTCGTGTGTATTCTTTATAAATATTTGTTAAAAATTGAAGTGAATTTTTGAGTTGAAAGTCCGAACAGTCCTCTTCAGCTGTCTCCTCATGTGCTGGTAGATCTGGAGAGAGAGTGTTGGTTGTTGGAAGGGGACTGAAAGGGGAGGTGGGCGGTCCGTGGCCCAGGTTTGCGGGTATGAGTCTGGTAGCAGGTGGCGCGTCCCTTGGCTGCACAGTGACTGTCGTGCTCACTTACAACAGATCATCCGAGTCCAGTCCCCCGATGGGGTGAAGCGGATCACAGCAACAAAGAGAGAGACAGCTGCGACGTTTCTGAAAAAGGTAGCTGCGACCGGGGCGCGTGCCTCGAGGGTGTCTTCCTCCTCGTGTTGCCCGTCTCTGCCTTTCCTCGCCGCCTAGTCCTGCCACGCCCAGCTGTCTCCTGCACTGCTCTTTTCAGGCGTGGAGGGTCGTGTTGCTGTGGGGTCAGTGTGTGTCTCAGCCACGTCCCCGTGGGGGCTCTCTCTCTCTCTCTCTCTTACCCTCTGTCTCTCTGGTGAGTGCACACTGGCAAAATTGAGAAACTACAAGGAGAATGTCTTACATAATCTTGGAACTGTTGATTCCTTTGAGACTTGTGGATTTCTTCTCTGAGAGTCATCAGATGATGCCCCCAGGGCAAGCTCTTCTGTGTCCCTGTTGCTCCCAGGGAGCCCCCTACCTTCTGTTTCCCACCTGCCTTCTCAGTCTGTGCCTCTCAGTGGTGAGAGACACAGGCCCTTCTTCAGACATTTTCTTTCATTAATAAAATACATACCAAGGAATGCTTGGAAAATACGGTCCACTAGATGGCTTATGATGAAGAAGGTGCCAGTCAGGTGGGGCAGGGCCGGCTCCGTAGAAGCACTGGCGGCTGGTGGCCACTGTGCACCGCTGTCTTACCTCCTCAGTGTGTGCTCTGATCCCTGAGTGTAGCTCTGCCTGCTTTTGAACGTAACATGGTGGATTGTGCTATGTATTCTTTTTTGTTGACTCCATTTGTAAATGCATTAGTTTTTATTCTGTTCCAGATTTTTTTCTTCTCTTTCCTCTTTCTCTTTTTTTTTTCCTTAATATTTTTGCCATAGGGCATGTGCAGTCTGCAGAGAGAGAGAGAGAAGGAGAAAGTGAAAAATCATCCTTCCCGGGGGAATGGCCATATCACAGTCTCTTCTTTTAAGATTTTGGGCATGTATACACATGTGCCTGGTATTATTATTTTTAAATTTTTATTTATTTATTTATTTTTAAATTTATTTTATTTTATTTATTAATTTTTTTGGAGAGGTTTTTGCTATAGGGCACGTGCACTTGCCAGACAGACAGAGACAGAAAGATAGAAAGCGAGAAATCACCCCTCAGGGGGGATGGCCACGCTGCAATCCTTTCTCCATTCTCCTCTTGGGATCTTGGGCATGCACGCACACACGCCTGGCATAAGTTAAAGCCACCAGGTCCGGGACTCAAACTGCGGTCGACTACATGGGAGTTCAGCGACATAGCCATTACGCTAACTGCTGGTCCCCAGTGTTATTTTTTTTAAAAGAATTATTTTATTTAACTATTTATTTACTTTTTTAATTTGATCAGAGAGGGACAGAGTGAGACACACACACACACACAGAGAGAGAGAGAGAGAGAAATAGTGAGAAAGCGAGCCACCAGGTCTGAGAATCAAACCATAGTCGGCCATGTGGGAGTCCAGTGCCCTTAGTCACCGTGCCACCTGCCGGCCCCCACGCCTGGTGTTATTTTTAAGCTGCCAGGTCTAGGATGCAAACGGGATATGGGATCCAGCGCCTCAACTACCATCCCACATGCTGGCCCACGGGGTTCTTTTTATTGAAGTAATTACGTATCAAGCTTATCCTGGGTGTGACTGTTAAGTTTTTAACATTTTTTCTTTTATTAAATTTACTTTTTAAATTATTATTATTTTATACATTCAATTGCTATATAGTATTTAGCTTATAGAGAGAATTTATCCAACATGAAATACACCTCAGACCAGTCCAGTTGAGAATAGTATAGACTTTTTGAGAGAGATTTTTGTGAGGGGTTACATGAATTCGTCAGAGAGACAGAAGGCAAGAAATGACCCCCCCGGGGGTCATGGCCACATTGCAGTCCCTTTTCTTCTCGAGATCTTGGGTGCGTGTACGTGCACACTACGTCTGGTGTGAGTTTTAAGTCACCAGGTCTGGGACTTGAACTGCAGTTCACTGTGGGAGTCCAGCGACGTTACCATTACACCATATGGTGATCCCAGTTTTTAACATTTTTATCTGCTTTTGTAAGGCTCTGCTAAGATGTTTTTTGTTGTTAGAGAATGTACATGCTTACCAGACAGGCGGGGGAAGGAGAGGAGAACACACCTCAACAGGGACTGGTCATACTGAGTCCGTTCTCTCTCACCTCTGCTTTCTGGATTTCGGGCTTGCTCACACATGCACCTGTTGTGTTTCTCAAGTTGCTGTGTCTGGGACTTGAACCATGTGTATGACTGTGTGAAATATGACTGCCTTCACCACCAGGTCATGGAGCCAGCCTGATATTTTTTCTTTTTTTTTTTAATAATTATTTTATTAACTTTATTTATTTATTCATTTATTTCAGTTTGACCAGAGAGGGACAGAGTGAGAGAGAGAAAAAGAGAGAGAGAGAAGGGAAGTAAAAAAGCAAGTTGCCAGGTCCAGGAGAGAGAGAGAGAGAGTGAGAGAGCAAACCACCAGGTCCAGGGCTCAGACTGCAGTCAGCCAGTGCCTTTAACTTTACACCATGCCACTGCCAGCCCCGTTCTTTCTTTTTCTTTTTTTTGGAGAGGTTTTTGCTATAGGGCTTGTGTGCTCGCCAGACAGACAGAGAGAGACAAAAAAGAAATCACCCCCCACGGGGGATGGCCACGCCGCAATCCCTTCTCCTCCATTCTCCTCTCGGGATCTTGGGCACGCATGCACACGTGTCCGGTGTGAGTTTAAGCCACTGGGTCCGGGACTCAAACAGCGGTCAACTACATGGGAGTCCAGTGACATAGCCATTATGCTAACTGCTGGTCCCCGTTCTTTTTTTGAGAGAGATTTTTGCCAAAGGGCATGTGCACTTGCTGGAGAGACAGAAAGAGAGAAAGTGAGAAATTACCTCCCAGTGGGGATGGCCACACCCCAGTCCTTTCTCCTCCATTTTCCTCTTGGGATTCTTGGCACACATGCATACATACCTGGCGTGAGTTTCAAGCTGCCGAGTCCGGGGCTTGAACCACAGTCAGCCATGTAGGAGTCTAGTGCCTTAACCACTATGCAACCTGCTGGCTCCTATTTTTTCAATGCCCAGTGCTTCATGTTAGATTTATGTACCTGTAGGTAAAGAAGTGACAGAATTCACCCGAAGAGGACCATCAAAAAAACTACCATGAAGTAGTGCCATAAAAACCCTTCTCCCACATAGGGGCTGGCAGGTGGCGTGGTGGTCGAGGCTGCTGGAGTCCCTTGTGGCCGACTGTGGTTCAAGTCCTGCACCTGGCGGCTTGCTTTCTCACTTTCTCTTTCTGGCTTTCCCTTTCTCTCTCTCTGGTTAAATTAAAAAACATAATAACAAATAGAATTAAATAAATAATTCTTTAAATTAAAAAAAGAAACCCTATTTTGTATGTCTTTCTGTGTCTCCCAAAGTGGGGCTCAGCACACATGATGCACTGTCAGTGGCAGTCATGTTTGACACCTGGCTGAAGGTGTGCTACTGTCAGCCTTGTGGGAAGCACGAAGCTCTCGTCTGGTGGTCACGGGGAGTAGCTTTATTCACGTTTAGAAGGACGGGCCTCCCCATCTGAGAGACCATTCTGAGACCCAGAGCACTGCTGTGGCTTTCACGTGGCTAAAGCTGGCCAATCTGGTAAGGGATGTCTCGTTCTTGACGATAGAGCGTGGTGCTTTGCCTGCAGAAAAGTAGTCTCTCACGTGTTTTCAGAATAGGTGAAATGCCACAGTTTGCTATTGCAGTTCATGTCTGGGCTGCTCTAGAGGAAGGTCCTGTGAGGACATTGTTCTTGTCTGAGGCCGTGCCTTATTTGCACTTGGGGATACAGGTTCCGTGGGCCCCTTCTAATGCTTTCGTTTACTGATGGCTCGTATAGCTTGGGAAGTGCAGCCACGTGGCATCAAACGCTCTCAGTACATCTGGTACGGAAACCTGTGTCCGTCCTTTTCTTTTTCCGATTGTTTTGCCCTAGGGCATGTGTGTTCATTGTAGCAAGACAGAGAGGGAAAGTGAGAAATTATCTCTCATGGTGATGGCCCTGCCACAGTCCCCCTTCCTTCATTCTCCAGTTGCGATTTGGGGCATGCGTGCACACACGCCTGGTATGATTTTCAAGCCACTGCATCCAGGACTTGAACGGCATAGTCAACTGTGTGGAATCCAGTGCCTTAACCACCACACCACCTGCTGGCCCTGGGGGTCACCCTGTTTAATGGCTGTATAGCCTCCTTGTTCAAACTGGTTGGTCATGCGGGACCCGGCTTCCTTCACTGCTAGGCTGTGGGGTCCTGGTCTTGTAAGGCCTGCTGCGTTTATTTCCCCGGGGTGCTGTAGGTTTGCTTCCTACAGTGCCTGGGGGAGGCCTGCTAGTGACTGACTTGCAGGTCCTGCCAACCTGAAATGCTGCCACTTACCTTCTATACAGTGGGGTTCACTGGGTGGAGGACGCTGAGCTGGCAGGTTCCCCTCCCCTGCTCAGCACTGTGGTAGCCCCCACCCCCGTTACTGGTCTCCACTGACTGGCTTTCAGCAGCTCAGCCAAGGTGCTCAGCAACAGCCCTCTCCTCCTCCCTCGGCGCTGGGTTATCGTTGTTCTTCCTGTCTGGGTTTTTCAGCCCCACTTTCTTCAAACGCTTGCCTGTCCTTTTCTTACCGCCCTCCCCTGAGTGTTGCCCTATTGGGCCCTTGGTCCTCAGGCCTGGCTCCCTTGGACCCTTGAGCCAGGTGTGTAGGTCCCGCCGACTGTGGTGGGCCCACAGTGCTTCGCTGACGGCCCTGTGGCGATTTCTATCTCAGGTGCTGTTTGCAGTCCTAGAATCTACCCTGGGTTCTCCGCGTACGCTCTGGTTCTCCATGGAGATGCCTGCCTTCTTATTGAGGCTCTGACAACACCTGAATGAGAGCTCAGCCCTGGCCCTGCCTGGGCTCACTCCTATGCCACCACCTCTGCTGGGCCCCTTCCTGGGCGCCTGGTGAGCATCTCAGACCCATGTAGGGACCCTCGCTCTCCCTCCAGGCTGCTGCCTTTTCTGCCCTTCATCTTCACGCTCCCTCAGGCAGCCCTTCACCCTGTCGTTGAAGCCAGATGGTGGAGTCCCCTGAGCCCTGCACCTCCCTCCACCACTTCCTCCACAGGCTGGCATGCCACCTCTAACTCCACCGACCCAGCTGCTCTGCCTCTTGTCAAGATGAGTGACTTTCCTGTTCCCCGCCCTTAGCCCTGTGGCTTCCCCGTGCTCCTGGGGTAGCCAGCTGGAGCCCTGTGGCTCAGTGTGCTCTTGCACTCAGCCTGACTGCCTTGCCAGCCTCGTCTCCTTTCTGTTCTCTTGTCCTTACTGGCTGCCTTCTTGCTTATTTGGCCGTGGCCTCTTCTCCCAGCGCCCCCTTCGTTCCTGTTCCTGCTCCTGGAACCTGTGGCGCTCTCCCGCCAGTGCCTGCAGGCCACTTCGGGCTTCACCAGGTGCCCATTCAGAGGGACCTCTGGCCTCTGCTCGGCCTCTCCCTTGTCTCTCCCTTCCATTTCTGCTCTGGTGCTTGGCTCAGCTGGTCTTGCCTTTGTTGATTGTCGGGGTCTGGGTGGCAGGAACCTCATCTTTTAAAATTCACAGCTGGGTTCTGACCGCTCAGAGCCTGACATGGAGGGCTGCTTAGTACTTGTTGGGCCTACGGTGTGGCAACATGTGGCCAGATGTTGTTACAGTGGACGTCTGTTCCTGGATTAGTGGGTCATCGTATGCTTCATTTTGTCGTTAGGTTTAAAAATTGAAATGAGTTTTGCGATTGATTTCAAAGGTAGAAACTACTTAGATTTTGCAGACATAGCTGTCATTCCTACTTTTTTTAAAAGAAAGTTTTTAAAAATTTAATTTTGTTATTATTATTATTTTTTAATTTGACCAAAG